TGTTGAAGGCCAGGTTGGATGGGGCTTTGGGCAACGTGGTCTAGTGGAGGGTGTCCCTGCCCATGGCAGGGGGGTTGGAACTAGATGATCTTCGAGGTCCCTTCCAACCCAAGCCATTCTATGATTCTATGATTCATTAATTTAAGACAGCCAACCACTCAAGTAGTTTCTTAGTACTCACAGTTCCCTTACCCTCGATTACTATAAATAGCATGTGTATAGGGTTTGTGTACTACATGTACCTAGAAAACATAGAGAAAATGTAAAAATAAAATCTACTTAATCTCATCAGCAAATATATTATGATTTTATCCCTAATACATAACTCTGTATTTTAATATTCTTTTAACTAGGCAGACAGAATCGTACTGCTAATCAGACATTAGTGATAGTAGCTATTTCATATTAAAATGGCTGGCTTTCTAGTAAAAGTCTAACATCTCACTATCTTTCTCCATACCCTGTAATCAGGTGAAAAATGTCAATGGTTTATTATTCCTGACAGAACACTATGGCTCTGACTTTAAGGTCACTATGCTCTTATGTTTCATGTAGGGGAACAAGCTGTGTACACCTGTCATGGTTTAGGTGAAAATTAACTCTATCCTAGCTGAACCCAAGACAACACCTTAAGAGGCTGTATACAAAATAAAGGAACAAAGCAGCACAGCAGAAGTAATACATTGTGATTTTAATAAACCCTTTGATACTACCTCCGAAAATACTACCTGAAAAATTGAATAAATTTTTTCTCCATGTAATCATTGAAATGTGGACTGAAAGCTGACTGAAACAATGAAGAAAGCAATAATTTAGCAATACAGCAGAACAAGCAATCTGTGATAGTCAGCCTGGGAACATCAGATTCACTGATAGGAAATAAAAAAGCTGGGTACCTGTTTATTCCAGGACCTAACACAGCTACCTGCTATCCTATTAGGTAGAAGGTTAGAAAGGGGATTGATTAACGTGTCCAGTTATGAGATGATAAAACTCAAAGACAATTAACACTCCCACAGAGAATGGTAAGTAAGGAATTATGAAATGTATGTTTTCATTGCTACTTACTTTGTATATATTAAGAAAGAAGAAAGAGTCCATATAGTGAAATTGGTTACTAAAGCTATTTGTTGCTATCCTATAATTTATTTAAAGCTGACTACAATTTATTTTAAAACAATTTAGGTTCACTTAATCACTTTGAAATTAGGGTCAAAAAATGGAACTCTTGTCAATGTAATATAATACTATTCTCTAGCTATATGGTTGCCACTACATAACATTCAGTGGAAGTAAGTTTATTTCTCCCAGCAGTAAGTTTAATTTAATTACTGTAACAAGAATCTTTAGAATCTTATAGGTAACATCCTGTAAAATCTTAGTCTTTCTTACCTTGATTAAGCAGTATTGGAGGTCTGTTCAGTAACTGAAGGCTAGCATTAAGAAACTAAGTAGCAGGAGTAAGAAAACAAAAGTGTATCTATGTAAGTTCTGAATGGCAGAAACCAGAAAATGCACAAAAAAATCTTAAAATATAAACATAGGAAGATTTAAAGTAGTGACAATTCTGATTTGTTAAAAATATTCAAGGATGTAGAATGGCAGAAACCAGAAAATGCACAAAAAAATCTTAAAATATAAACATAGGAAGATTTAAAGTAGTGACTGATTCTGATTTGTTAAAAATATTGAAGGATGTATCTAAGTATGTAATTTGTTCCACAAACTGTAAATTTGCTTATGGACACTTACATCGTGGGGAACATTATCTAAACTCAGTAGTATCCCATATATGAATCATATTGTGTTATCAGCATGGCAAATCATGGGTAGGAAATATTGCTCATGGGATACAAAAAAGGAAGTATAAGAAATGGCAGAACAGTAAAAAGAAAGATGATAGTAACAGCAGAAAGAGTATTAAACAATCTATCGAGTCTTTTTGTTTTGAATTTTAAATCCTCATTTACAAATAATATAATCTCACTCTAGTTCTCCTCTTTTTTTTGCCTACATTTTTTTTCTTCCCCTTTCAGTATTAAGCACTCCATTTCAATCTGTGTAGAATAATTAGCTTCCTAATTCCCCCAAACTGTTGACATCACTAAGAGCACTGAAATACTACACTCAATCCAATGCAGCTAAGAAAATCTAGAGATGCCACAGTTCATTTTACATTTCCTTGTTTCCATTGCCTCAATGTTTTTTTCTTCTTCCTATGTGCTGCCACATCACTTGTTTCCAGAGGATGGCTACTCCATCCATGGGGGTATCAGGGCAGGGATCTGATGAGACCCCATGCCCCTCTCAGAACTAGAGGAATCAGACTGCAACAGTTTCCTCAAAAAATGGAAGACAGCTTTGGTTAGGTATATGTACAAAAGGGCTAAACAACACAACAAACTGGCCAGATAGAACAACCTAGCTCTAAATACAAAGAAACTATTCACACTTGCTTAGTATTAGCTGAGAAAAAAAAGAGATCCAAAGAGAAAGAAGCAGCTTTTACTCCCTTCATACATGATGGTAAAGAACAAAGAGTAAGAGCACCTTAATCCTCAGGTTTTGGTTTCAAGTCTGAGGACCTAACATCCTCATATGAGGACACACTAACAAGGACATACTGTCTCATAAATATAGCTAACAAAAGTGTCCAACTTATTCCATTTTAGGTACCTACACCCAGAGTAAAATGTATATATTAAGAAACACCAGGAAAACTAGCATCCATAAAAGTATGGAAAATGCAGAACGGAGTCAAGACTTCTGGCTACTTTTTTAATGTAGAATTACTATGCAGAACAATGCTGAAGCAGAAGGACTAGATGATGCTAGTGAGTCATCACACACTCTTCTGTTTGTTGAAACTGTGCTGCTTGTGATGTTAAAATACTTGGGGTTTAGTTATTGGTGTTATCAAGGCTATCATACATAAAAATTCAGGTTAGACCATCATCAAACTCTTGGCTGTGCAAAACTCACAGCCAGGAATGAATTTTTACCTGTATTTACACCAGTTAGAATCATAGAATGGTTTGGGTTGGAAGGGACCTTTAAAGATCACCTAGTCCATTCCCCCTGCCATGGGCAGGGACGTCTTTCATAGATCAAGTTGCTCAAACCTTACAAGACAGTTTTACAAGTTGCCCCAAACTTTACAAGACAGACATTATATCTGCCACCTCCTCATTTCCCAAGTCTCCATTCTTACCACACACATTTTCCACAGCCCACTCTGGACCTGCCTCCTTGGCTTTCTTCCCTTCCAAATCTGGGGGACTCTTCTGCCACCTGGACATACAATCCTTCCAGTTCAGGGTGAAAAGTCTGCCTTTGTAGTAATACTGTTTCTCTAACTCACCCCTACCCCAGCTCCTCTCTGAGAAGGATCCAAAGGATGTGTTCTCTTCCTTTTGTCTCTTCCCCCAGTCCAGTGCCACCAATATGCTTGTCAGCTCCATTTTTTTTACTGAGAGGTGGCACTGACTGACCAAGGTGCAGGAAGGAGGGAGAGGCAGTAACACCAATTAGATTGATGGCTCTCGTTACTCTATCTCCAGTGCTGTGGGGTGCAGTTTGAAGAAGACTCCTGAAAGGAGACAGCGCTGAAGGTCTAGGGAGGTTCAGAGGTACAACACAGAATACAGTCCATACCACAGCATCACCTCTCCGTCCTCTCATCCCGCTGACTGTTCCCTGGAGCTGCAGCACTGTTGCTTACAGAAGATGAACTACCGAGAGACGGCAACAGCTCCTCATTGGTAGGAAACTGCCAATTTAGATCGCTGATAGAAGTATAAAATGTAAGAATGACACAACGGCCATGTGTGCAGAACACTCCAACGCCACACAATACTACAGGAGCTGAAAGCATACAGCTGTGCAATCAAAGTATCAGTCTGAAAACTACATACGCGTTTTAACTTATGAATGAACACAGATTAGCAAGATAGTGAAATTATGCACAGTATATAATGCCAGTTCTTTATCCTTCAGGGATAAAAAACAATACATAAAATGCAGAGAGATGTTTGATGCACTAAAATAAATTACATTAGAAAGAAATGAGGGGTTTGTCCTTCCTTTTTTCTTAATTCCCTTTAAGAACATATTCTATGATCTTTAAAAATCCATTTTCTTATAGTTTTAGCCATGTATTTTCAAGTTTTGTGCTGATCCAAAACTTTATATAACTAAAGTTCTCATGAGAAATATGAAAAAAATACAGGAAAAATATGCACCATTCCTGCATGTTAGCACAGCAAAACTTGCCATGTAACTATTTGATCATACACCATTTTCTCCCTGCGGGTTTTCAAAGGCATAGTGCTCAATTTTTATTAATGTTACATAAAAAAGCCAATCTGTTACAGCAAGAATTAATACAAAGATGGGAATTCCCAGCACATAACATGCAAAGTCTGTAGTGTTGGTGCAACCACTGCCTGGCCCTCTTTGGTGGAACAGAAAGACATTTTGTTGACATGTGCTCAAAGTAATGATGGAGAGTACAACAGAAAAGAGAAGAGGATAGTACTGATTCTTGATTTTAGTGTCAATCTCAATTTGCTTATTTTTTACCTAAATCAAATTTTCTGATCAAAAATTATGAATAAATACACAACAAAGACATAATTCCCGCCCTTGCAAGAAAATGAGTATAAGGGCACACAGTAGGAGAGATTCCTACAGAAAGGTACTTTTGTTTCAGGGCTTCCAGACTCATTAGAGAAAAATTATAAGAATTTTAAAACACCAGGTAATTCTTCCACCCACCCCCCCAAAAAAAAATCAAACCAAAACCAATTTAATGTGGTTCTTTCATTTACAGTATCAAAGTAACATTGTTTAAACTTGACAGATTGAAGGTAGTTCCTGACGGCCTGTTTTTCTGAATCAGATTTGAAAAACAGCTCACCTCCCAGGACCATACCGGCTTGACAGCACTTCCTCAAGCGACATGCTGGACAGTTCTTCCTACGAATTTTATCGACTATGCAGTCATTTCTTCCAGCACACAAGTAGTTGTGCTGCCCTGTAGGCAAGAGAAAAACAGGATTAATACCATATTTTCCAACATGACAAAATTATTGCTGTATATAAATGTTCCAAAAATAAGAGAGATTAAAAAAAAGTGTACTTGAACCATTAAAGGACTCCTTCATTTTATGCTTACTTTCAAATAATTGTGCGTTACTATTTAAATATAATAATTTATTTGGCATGTTTAAGAGTGAAACTCCCTATCTACAAAATTCCAAAATAATTAGCAGACACTATGAACTGCTTAAATTATTGTACTATCAGTATTTCTTAAGTAAATCAAGCATGAGGACAGACTGATTTGTTTCTTTCAAATTTATTTTTAAGTTATTGTTTCTGATTTTAAAGTATTTAAGTAAATTATGCTTGCATTGATGTGGAGTTTCTGACAGAAAAGTGAATGAAGAGGTTGGGGCAGTGCAAAAAAGAGCCCTTTAAAGCACAGTAAATTACCTCTGATGGAGCAGCATTTTTGTACTAGACCTGCTGAAATACCAGCTGAACAGATGCAGCCAACACAGTCAAAAAGGAAAAATACAAAGCGGCCGTAACTTTTTGGTTGAGGCTACCTCTTAGTTTATTGTTTAATTCTGAAGGACTCAGTTAGGAAGAATCTGTCATCACTGTATTAAAATGGATTATTTTAATGAATGTAGCTTCCAGCAGAGCAAAAAATTAAATTCAGCTGATATCCTGATATTCTTTTGAACACAAACTTCAATTATACTTCCAAATTTCATTGGAAGAGAATGAAAAAAGTATACTTTTATGCTTTAGTATAGTATTGGTAGTTTCTGTGATATATTTTAATTTTGAATAAGTGAACAAAGTTAAGTAAGTACATAAGTAAGAAGAAATCAAAGATAATTTTCACATATTCTTTCAAATTAAGCCCAGGTTTACCCTATAAGGCTTAACTTTAAAAACCTGCCTGTTTGTGCACATCATCCTCTATTCATTTCTGTATTTTCAGTTTCTTACCAGTATCTAGCATGAAAGTATGAAAAAGAAAAATACTTTGAGAGCAACAAAATAGATCAAAAAAGTATGGACAAACTACAGAAGTACCAACATCATGGACACTTCCTTCATGGAATATTGTGGACGTGGACTTCCAAATATAACAGACATCAATAATACCAAACCTTTTAAATTTTCACTAATTTCTAGATCAGTATTACTCTGAGTTAGCCATCTGATGTGACCAGTAGCAAACAAATCTGAGATGATTAGTCTACGCAGAAGCTGTTAATCAGTGTTCTTCATAACCTCGTTCTGTCCTTTCTCTACACATAGTAGCAATTGTTCACCAATAACTTTTCTCCATGGAAGACAGACAAACTTACAAAGCATACATATGGCATGTTGAGATAAAAATGCTTTTCACTTAATATAACGTTTAATATTATTAAAGTTCTTTTATTTTGCGCACGACCAAACTATGGTAATACGAATCCTCAGATGAAAATGCAGGAGAAAGAAGAACATTCTATTCTAATAAAGAAAAGAGCTAGTGCTAAACCATGTGAAACAATGTTTTAGATAATTAACTTACTTCTTACCCAAACTTAAGAACAACTTGTTTGGTTTTAGTGAAAAAAATCTGATTGCCTGAAATTCATTTTTATAACAAGGTTTTTTTGTTTGTTTTTTTTTTCAGAAAACAGCAGGCAAATAAAAACAGTTGCCTCACTCATTGCTTATCATTTGAAAAAGTATTTAGTAATGCATTAAATAAAAAAAATTCTAATTTACTTTCTCCCATTAATTCTACTCCTGGATTCCTTCTTACAGGAAACATTAGTACAAAAGTAGCTGAATTACTAAGAATCTGTCTTGCTTTTGGCAGCAGAGCAGGAAGCAAAATACTTAATTTGAACATGTTTTCCTTGGGATTATTTGCAGTTTTCCCTCGTCTTGCTTTGCCTTTATTAGCTACAAAAGCATTCAGTCTTTTGATAAGCAACAACAGTTTTCAAACTGTTAGTTTAACTAAAATCTGTGAAGCATCAGATTGTCTCTGCACTGTGGCATTCTGATGCTTTAATGTAGTTAATTTACAGAGGAACGCTGAAGCGTAGGTTAAGTTTGGTTTGTGGGTGTCTTGGTTTGGGGGGTTTTCTTTGGTGCCCTGGAAGGCATCTCTTCTGGACCTCTCTTCTAGGGCATCCTTTCAGTCTACATAACACGGTCTGAGTCCATATAACCCATGTCCATTGCAAGACCAAAAAATGGACTATGTACTCAACAGCCAAGTGCATCCTCTAACTCCTAAAGGAGGCTAAAGAGTTTGGGTAGAAGCACTAATGACAGCACTGCTCCTGCTGGAACAGGAAATCATCTGGAAAACCAGAAGTTAATAGCTTGATTTATACTTATACATATTTAAATACCCTGTATTATTTATATAATAGCGTTTAAATACTAAGCATCTAAGATTAAGCATTACAAACCAAGGGTGCAATACATTATAAAATTTTAAATTTAGTTACACATTTAAGCGAAAGCTCTTAAAAATCTCTTCATAACTTAGGGGTTGTCAGTAGATCCAACTTCCATTTCAATTGAAAATGCATTAATTACTTCATCATTACGTAACAACTCACAAACTGCTCATTATAAATCCAAGACTAAAAAAACTTTTTCACATTTGCAAAACAAATTGTAAACGAATCACAATTACAAAAACTACTCTTCAATGTTCTTATGTTCTAGAGTTTAAAATTACATAGGATTAAATAATCTCTCTGTCCAGTGCATACCATGGAAAAAATGAAGTCTGTTATTGGAATTTAGGCACAGTAAGAATTGAATCTTCAAAAAGTGAATATTATTTAATTCCCATTTATTTCATAAATTGTATTAAAAATCTAATAATGACCAATGACCTAATCTTTGTTATGTCTTCACCTAGTTTATTTCTTCCATAAAGCCTCCGTGATACTAGCATAAAAAAAAAGAAGAAAAAGCCAAAACCCTGCCAACCCAACCTTCCCATGAGATTATGGTGATAAAATCTCAGGTACTTCTTGATTCTTACTGTCAACCACTTCCTTGCTTTCAGGACTATAAAAAAGCCACAGTCATATCCTGAGCTTGAATTATACCTTCATGTGAGTTTTCCACTCTGCTCGCCTCTATCCAATCTTTCCCCAGCACTTCCCATCCCAAAGTGTATTCCATTCATTCTGATTCAGCTGCAACTTATTTGGAAAACAGATAAGGTTCAATTATGTACTGTTTTTCATAGTCTCATTTGTCAGGGAAATTTTTTTACCTCAGTCATCTGATCTCATATCTATAGATAAATTTGAGTCAATATTCTCATCTGAAACCATTTCTACCATTGTGCAGAGCTCAGTTCTGAGCAACTGCTACTTGTTTGACATTAATATTCAAGTGGCAGCAACCATCTGAAGGACAAACTGTGTAAGAAATGGAAAACATGCCAGATATTTGGTTAATTTCAAAATTATGGAACAATATTTAGTTAGATGAAGCTCTCTGGAATGTTTTCATGGGATGCTAAAACATTAATTTGATAATACATTTGCTATATCTCAGTCTTTAGGATCATCTACATTTTAACTGACTGGTTTCAGTATGTGAGCATTGCAGTTATATTAGATGTACGTACTAATGAAGTATCCAACGACTCCTGTCAAGATAAAATTCCTGTTCAATTGGTAGCTTGTCATTTCATATCTTTAGATAACTGCTGTTATTATAAGCAGGAAAAAAACTAGAAAAAAACAGGATGGTTGTCTAATCACTAAAGCACAGGTCAGAAATTAAAGACTGATATTGGTGTTTCTTACAAAAATGTGAATCTGGCAACTACCACTTTATCGGAAGTCTTCACTCAATGTTAAGTTTCCTATGTTTTTTCACGTCTTGTTGAAAGTGCTCATTGTAGCGCTCTCTCAACAGATCAACATATCAGCTTGTGACCTAGCTTTGATTGAGAATACGGAAAAAATACAGAGATGGTTTCATATGTTACTCATATGTTGCAGATTCTTGTAGAATAGCATTTTTCTTAGCCTCCATCAAAGTCCACTTGTGTTAGCAAAGGTGAAAGTCCCAATGCAAACAGGCAAACAGAATTTTAAGTACTGTAATGACTATTGCTATACTGGCAGGTTTATACTAGAAAGTGGTCAAAATGCCAATGGTCTACACACACACATATGATCACCGGTTCTCCTATCAGTAAAGCTGCACAGATCATAATCCAGTGCTGAGAAATTTTAATTCAAATACTGCTGGAAGTAGCATGCAGGGTCTTTAAAAACTGCACTATTAACTTAGCTCATTGACATGCTGCAAGTCACTTAAAATCACTCAAGTACACTAATGAGTTGCAGAGATTTTGCAGATGTGCAAAATATGGGAAACAAAAGGCTTTATCTGCACCAGGGGTATGAGATGCAAGCAATCAGTTATTTGTATGTGCATCTGTGCTGGACTGCTGCCACCCTGCACAAAAGCAAAGCACTTGGTTGCAAACTGTTCCTCCCATCTGTAAATGAAAGTACTTTCTCAAACCTTTTCTCTCTCCCCCATATGTGATTCTGCCTCCCTGTATCACTCTTAACTGGCAATGCTTTCTTATAAAATCATCCTATCCCCACCACTGGACTGTTCCTTGCAAAACAGAGTTTTATTTAGTCTAGTTTTAGATCTAAAAACTGTAGATACCTATTGCATGTCCTTGTAAATTATTTTATTGGAAATGTCTCCCAATGTCACCTTTTTGCTTCCTGAGAGCCAGCCTCCAAGTTTTGCTCAATAATTTACAACAATATGCTTTATCTGTTATAATATTTTTCAAAAGTACTGATTAAATCAGTAAGTTTAAAAAAACAAAGGAATTGGGTTTTTAACATAACTAAATTTGGAACTCCTTGTCAGGGGTTCTTGTGGAAGTCAACAATAAACATGATTTCAAAATAAGCAAAATGGAAAATAGGTTTACCTGTATACCTATAC